CATTTTGTCCAATCTGAAGGATTTCTTCTAATTTGTCAGTTCCATTTGTCAGCATCTTGACAGATTTGGTCATCTGGTCCAGTTTTGAGTTTAGCATTTGAACTTCCCCTTCTAGATGACTTATAGTATCAATGCCTGACTTTTTCTCAGTCTCCAACTTTATTATGAGTTTTGTTTGTCTCTCATTTTGCTGACAGACTTCAGCACTTCTGATACATAACTTCTTGTAGGAATCAGCCAGTTCTTCAAATGTCACTTCCTCATCACTAGAGTCACTATCAGAGTTACAAATACCAGTTAGTGCAGTAACTCGTTTGGCAGATTCTTCTTCAGAATTACTTTCTGAATCACAGTCAGACCAAGTAACAAACATTCCTTTCTTTTGTTTCTTAAGAAAGGTAGGACATTCAGCTCGAATGTGCCCATATCCTTCACATCCATGGCATTGAATTCCTTTGCTTTGATTTCCCTTCTCTTCAGACTTTGGTCTTCTGCTAGAGTCATAGGATCTGTTAATGTCAGAAGGAATGTTCTTAACATTTGACCTTGACTTTGGGTCCATTCTCTTGATGAGTTTGTTGAATTGTCTTCCAAGCATGGCTATAGCTTCTGAAATATTTTCTTCTTCATCCTCCTTGTTTTCATCTTCAGTATTAGATACAAGTGCTATGCTCTTGTTTTTCTTGTCGACATTGTCACTGATCCCCATCTCAAAGGTATGAAGTGACCTAATGAGTTCATCCACCTTCAAATTGCAGATATCCTGAGCTTCCTCTATAGCAGTCACCTTCATTGCAAATCTTTTAGGCAAGGATCTGAGAATCTTTCTCACCAGCTTTTCTTCTGACATCTTTTCTCCCAATGCTCCTGAGGTGTTGGCAATCTCCAAGATGTTCATGTGAAACTCATGAATGGTCTCATCTTCCATCATCCTTAGGTTCTCAAATTTGGTAGTCAGCATCTGAAGCCTTGACATTTTTACTTTGGATGTGCCCTCATGAGTAGTTTTGAGAGTGTCCCAAACTTCCTTGGCTAGTTCACATTGATGTACTAGTCTGAATATGTTTCTATCAATTCCATTGAACAAAGCATTTAAGGCTTTGGAATTATCCAGGGCTAACTCATCTTCTTCTTTGCTCCATTCTTCCTCAGGTTTCAGACTGATTGTCCCATCTTTCTCAGTTATGGTGGGATGGTTCCATCCTTTGTCAGCAGCTCTCCAAGCCTTTTTGTCCAGTGATTTTAAGAAGGAAATCATACGAGGTTTCCAGTAGTCATAATTTGATCCATCCAGAATGGGTGGTCTGTTTCCAAAAACTCCTTCTTTGTCCATAGCGCCAGAAAATAATATCCCTAGATCTCACCCAATAAGACAGGCAGGGTGCCTGCTCTGATGCCAATTGAAATTCTGGCAGTAGATACTCAATGTCACAGTGAATGTTATGACACCGTATCTGACTTTCTATAAGATAGTAAATCTAAAAGCAGTAAAGAACACAGTCAATTGTTTACCCAGTTCAGTGTGTAACAACACCTACTCTGGGGGCTACCAAGCCAGGGAGGAAATTCACTATAAGAGATATTAATTCAAGAATAAACCAACCAGTTTATCTCCTTCACTTAAGACCTACCCAATGCAACTTCAATCTAAGTTCAACTTAAACCTGAGTTCCTACTCACTCCCCCTCAATCACAGCAGTGATACTAAACAATTGACTAACGAAATTATGAAGACACTCTTCAGAACATACACTTGATTATGCTCCACAGTTTTTAATCAACTAACACAAACACTCGTGCTTCAAAGCTTTGAGTGATACAAAACCTAACTTGACTTTGCTTTAAAGCTTTAATCAAGTGACACAAACACTTGTGCTTCAAAGCTTTGAGTGATACACAACCCTTACAATCAAATCCTACTCCAAGTCACTTATCACAATGATAATTGCTTGGATTACAGTAGTTAAAACTATACAACCAAGTTAACCAACAGTCGTCCTGTTGAATATATAGGTCGTTGTTCTTCAGTTAGGGCTTCCACGAAAATAGCTAGGGTTAATTAACCTCAAGACTTGGTCACAGGACTTTATCAACCAGATTAGGGTTAAGCCAAGTTAACCTAAAGTCCACGTGAGACTTTGTTCTGGACTGTGTAAACCAGTTTCCTGAAAAATCTCAGAATTAACAAAACTGTACAACTGTTAGATCAGTACAGGATGTCTTAACATTGGTTATAACAACAAGAATCCTGTTTACTGATTTTGGTAGAATGTAATAAATATGATCATTGCATGATGATCAGCTAAACACTCAATTTAAGCAGCTTCTGTATGACATCCTTTTTCTGCAGAATGTACCTAGTAACCCAGAATGTTATGACATCAGTCATGACATTCACACACCTGGTTTTACCAAAAAACATGCCAACAACCAAACACTTACAATGATGATTATTGTGAGTATGTGATAGTGCATTCATTGAGTCACATGCATTTGCATACTCTGTGATGGCCTGGATTGGCAAACTACGAAGAAGACTTATGCCTTGTTGATGCCTCTATTTATTGACAAATTTTTAAGATGGGAGTTCTGTTCCAATGGTACCACATGCATGTGCATTGTAATTGAGTCGAAGTTGATGTTGTATCTTGAGTTGTGGTGATGATATATTTGTTGTTACTTTATGTTGTTGACTTGTTGTGACAAGTATTATCTAAAAGCTGCAAATTTAGTAGCTATGTCGTGTTGATGTTTTGTTGTGATTAAAGTTGTTTGTAAGTTGTGAAGTGGTGATTTTATATGATCTGATCTAATATATTATTTATCATACGACTTATTATATTGTCTGATATCTCACCCCTTCTGTTTGAATGTTATCTTCTGTTGGTAACGTGCAGTTAATCAAGAAGGATAGTTGTTACTTCATTAGTTCGAGTCGGTGTCGTCGCTCTGATACGTAGCACTCGGGAAAATGAATGTTTGATGTTTAGTTGTTGATATTAATTTCAGTTGCTGAATTTTTAAATTGATTACATGAAATAATTGTTGTATTGAGGTTGTTTTAATTGAATAAAAGATGTTAAGTGAATTGAAGTTGAGTATGTAGATTTCGTTGCTTATCAATAAAAAGTTGTTTGATTTTATAGAATAAATCAGATTGTTATCGGTTCATCCGAATCAAGTGTTATGTATCTGTTTTATATGCGACTAAATGAAGTTTGATTTTAAGTTGAAAACGTAGCATCCTAATCATGTTGAACTCTGATTTTATTATTATCCGTCGGGTAGAATTGAGGTGTTACAGCGTCAATAATCGATCACAAAATCAAGACAAAAATAACAACAAAATGATTAATATCATGAAAAGAATAATTGGAATTCTTGGTGTATGGATCAAGGGAGTTTAATCGGATTATGATTAACCAAAGACTATACTTGATTAATCTCGTGAGAATAGGTGATCCTACTCTCAACCATGAGACCCTCTTGCATGGAACACTTGGCGTATGGACCAAAGTGATTGATTCGGATTATGATTAATCGATATAAGAAGGGCTTCGAATAATCTCGTGAGAATGGCCATGCATGTACTCCACTATGAGACCCTTTAGAAAAGCTTGGTATATGGACTAAGAGGAGATAAGTTTTCAATTATTCAGATAAGGAGATAAAAAGTTAACTCAATGCACAAGATAAAAGTCAAACAAGCTCATACAAGATGGTCATATGCATGCTCCTAAAAAGTGGGACTAGCGCGTCGCTAGTATTCTAAACGACCAATTTGAGCAATCGATCGAATAATTGTCGTTGTAGGAAAGCCCAAGGCCAAACTATAAATGTGTGCGGGTGTGCACTTGTATGTGTATACCTGCTCATTGATGAGCGGCCCAAGAGGAGACCATGTGTTCTAATTGAATGATATACACATAATTAAGCAATAATTAAAACACTCAAAGAAATAAACCCTAAACTATTACAACCATATAAGAATGGGGGCACAAATTTATGAATGAGGACAAATCGAATCGAAAGTTCGATTAAAAATCTAAATAAACAAACAATACAACCGAATTGAAAATTAATTTAAATAACAATTAAATTAAATAGTCTTATTTAATAAAATTAATCAATAAATTAATTAATAATATTAAATAATATTTCTCAATCTAATTATTTATTTAAACAAATATATTTTGTATTTTTTTCAATAAAATGAAATCAAAACATATAAATAAAAGAAATAGAAAAAAAGTTAAATGGGCCTCAAAAAGAAGTAAACAAGGGGGTGTTGGAAGCAGAAGTAAGCCAGACCCATTAAGCATTTCGCTTGATCTAGTGTAAGCATCTCTAGGGGTTCACTTATGAACAGCAGATCTGGGGCGTTGGATTCTGATCGGGACAGATCTGGTGGTGAGAAGTCGCAGGGTGCATGGTATGAACGGTGGAGCCATTGCATATAATCAAACAATGATCACAAAGGCGGTGACACTAACAATGACCACAAAGGCGGTGACAAGTGTCACGCCAGATTAGCTACCTGATTAAAATTAAACAAAATGAAATGTTAATCAGAAATTAAATCAAATGACTAAAAGAAATTAAAGGGAAGTGGATCACGATCTGACGCGGTGGAGCATATGAACATGGCGGCGGAGACAATGATGATCGTGACGACGACTAGTTCAAGTGCCTCTACAGTTGGCACACTATTTCTCTGATTACCAGCAGAATATGAGTAAAATTAGTAACTAATAATAAACATAAAAACAATGTTCGATCTCTATTAGTTGCACCTGAACCAAACCAACAATCTATTTCTCACATGTAATAAACATCCAGAATATGGTTCCTATTAGGTATGACAGACAATTTCTTTTATAGATTTCGATTACAACTAGCACAGATTATTTAGCATGAAAACAAAAACAAGTGTTTAAATCCTCCATTGGCATCTGATAGAGAGGTCTTTGTATATTGAGATAAACTTGTTGTAACTGAACTCACAAGAACAAGTGTTTGAATTCTCCATTTGCAAGCTGACATAACTTATGGTAGCTGGACATATCTGCCAACATGTAAAAGAAAATCAGAACCCACAACTTTACATGCTGAGAAATTTAACTTACAAGGATAATACAACAACAACAACTTATCTCACTAAAACTTGGCTTAATTCTTCCTTACAAAACAGGTTTGTAAGGTGAGGATTGCCTCCACTTATAAATATGTGTTTAGATCATATATTGTCTGATGTGAGACTCTTAGTACCATTAAAATTAATAGTCATGGCTCAAAATCACAATGACAACCGATTTGAGAAAGAGGAATAAGATCAATACCAATTTCATCACCAAAGTTGGTCCATAATTCAACTTTGATGGACTTGGCACTGCTAACAATACCAATAACTTCTACAAAACCCGTATGAGGAGATGGTAGGGGTGAATCAGGTGATATTTTAACAATCATCTGCTTCTCATTGGGTGATTTTCCAATGACAAGTACACCATCATATTGCACGACTTGTATCACAGTACGAACCCTTCTTCCAACACAAAAGGGTAACAGTTCCGCATTGACAAAGACTGCAGGGCTTAGTGAATCCACATTCTGCAATATTCGACAAGATTACCAGATGATTTGGATTTGAAATATATTGTTTGTATCACAGTTCATTTGCACTTTGTTTACATCTAAAATTTCAAGTGAGACAACAAATTTTAATGTAAATAAATGACTAATTTCAATTCATTCATTTATTTCCTTAAGTTCGATAGACAATTAATTGAATTAAATTGTATCAAATTAAACGAACAACACAAATCAATGCAATACCGCCAGTAATTAGTTGTCTTCCAGGATATCTCTCCTTATTATAAGATTATTTTAGATTGTCATAATTTTAGAGTGCTGCAAAACATCTTAAAGATAGCATCTACTTTGCGAGCCAATAATTTCTTAAATGCAAAATTCAGGAAACACGAGACATTTTAAATACAAAAATTAGAGCAGGCTGTGACAATGGTAAAAGAGAAGTGAAAATTGTAATTCCTTAAAACAAAATATTAAGTGTAAACCGTAATTCCTACAAAATAAAAGGGAAGTGAAAATTGTAATTGTCAATATCAACAACTAATATTTTAGATTAAAGAGAATAGAAAGAAAGTGAGAATTGCAATGTCAATAGAAAACTATCAATTCAACTGAAAAAGACATATACATCATTTTAGTTAAACCAATACCATCCACTATGAAGGTATCCTGGATTGAAAATCAACCAGAAACATAACCTCATATTAGCCGCTAGCATGACAATACCAAGATTCCCAATTACATTTAACACCCAGCAGTAACCGGTATCTGTTGAAACTTTAAACCTTACAATTTACTTATAAATGTTTACAAGAAACATATATCAAATGCTCCTGTTCACTGGTTCAAGTGCCTCTACAGTTACCACACTATTTCCTCTAATTACCTGCAGAATGGGAGTGAAATTAACATTAAACAATTTAAAACCATGTTCAATCTTTATAAGTCTGCTACACCTAAACTACTAATATAAAACTGAAAATGCATAATTTGAGGACTTACCACCATTCCTATGTCATTTTTCTCATTGCCATTCACCTCCACAGTGTTGTCAACAACCAAATTCATAAACTGGTCAAAGCCTCGGAGAGTACCAACAATCATGCGATTTGCATTCAGCTTGACTGCAAGATAATAACACAACATATTTCAGAATAACTCTTCCCCAAATTGTAAAACATGTTTATGGCAAAGAAGCACCAAAATCTATAGATACACGTATTTAAACCACGCATGCTTAAATGCATATCAAGAACAAACAAGCAATAGCAAAATTCACAAGTGCAAAACAAATATGTAAATAACTAAGAAAATAGCAAAACACAAATAGAGAAAGTACCTAATTTATCCCAAATGAGCTATGAATGAGATTTATATGCGTAGTTGAAAAAATTTACCAAACTCCAAAAAAATACGGAACTGAGAACGAAAATGACTAACGCTATACTGTCAATAGAAACCTCTGAACAGCTAAAACGAAGTTAATGAATAATATTACAGTTATTCTACAAAATCATCCATCTACACATGAACTAAGAAAAACCAATTTGATGTCAAACAAAGAAGATACGATCAATTATCAGAAAGAAACTTACTTTGAAGCTGTTTGTCCATGTACCTGCAAAAAAAACCCAAGGAAACGAACAAAAAAATGCATATTAATATCGATCAAATGAGGCAGAAATTTAAAAGCAACAAAAATTGTAATGATGAATTGAAGTGAAAGCGAGAGCAAGACTTACTTTTTCAAATCCGGTGGCTGCCCTGATCTGCTCATGGTGAAGAGCGGAGATGAGAGGACGAAGAAGGTAGACGATGATTTGAAGGGGCTGAACCGCAGCGTTGTACAACACAAAACCCTAAGTTTTGAGGGTTTTGCTGGACATATAAAATTGGGCCAGATTCCAGGAATGTATTAGCCCAGTGTAGCTAAAGCCCGTTAAGATCACCTTCTCGGGACTTTTATTTATCACCCCTAAAATCGGCAATTTCTCTTTCCATTCTATGTATTCTCTAAAACACTCTTGAAAATTGGATATATATTTCTGGTGCGAATTATTTTTGTTAAATATTGTCTAAAAATCATAAATATATTTTCGAAGTGAATCGGAAATACATTTTCGGTTTCTGTGCAAACAACACTAGAAAGACTTATGCTAGCAATGAGTCTTTTTTTGTCTGTTGTTTCGCATTGAATACAAAGACGTATACAATAAAACATACTAAAAAGACATATAGAACAAAGACATATATAAATAGATATCAGTAAACAATACAAAAGGTGTCCATAGTCAATATAGGGGGTAACCCAAAATATTATCCAAATACAATCAAAAAACAATAACCAATATACATATACAACAGAAAAGACTATTGGGTATGGAGGACTCTGAATCGGCCCCTCCTCTTCCCGACGTTCCTCCGCTACCTCCTGTACTGCAAAGCCCCCCGAGCCTCTGCCATGATGGCATACAGAACACCTCTAACACCAGAGCCATCAGGCAACAAACCACCATCAATACCCGTTTGCGCAATATCCGTGATACGATGACACATAGGTAACACATTTGTGGCATGATCGGCATGTGTCTACTTCTCCTCTAGAATCTCCTGATGAGTTGGCCTTAGAAGGTTTCTTGGAGCATCATGTATCAGGTATGGATGGGACACCCTGAAGAATCATATGATATAACCGTCCACGTAGCTCTAGTCGTCTGGAGCAATGGTACTCCAGGCCTCATCTGAAACAATATAATTCTCATAATCATCAAATAAAGCATTCATATCCATGTGTTTCACCAGGGGAGGAGCAGATACAACAAGATCTCAAGGAATGTATTGGGTGTTCCCGAACTGACGCATAATGCGCTCAAGCATATAAGCAGTCGTCTTGCGTGACCTGCAAGCCAACCATCCTTTAAATAACATAACATCATCAAATGCTATTGTGACACGGTGGTCGTGGTATGAATGAAAGTGTGTGTCCTCAAAAATGTAATAGAAGGAATAAGTCAAAATTCATACATCTTTGTCCCATATATCTAGCAACATGGTCCGGGTATAAAGAGAACAGAGATAAATCAGACGATCCTCCTCCAAAACTCATAGGCACCGCCTGAGGTGTCGCCTCAGGTCCTTGAGATGTTTGGGGTGCCTGCTCAGGTGTCGTCTCAAGTGTAGGCTCATGTGCAAGTGCCAACTCAGGTTTTTCCTCATGTGTAGGTGTCGGCTCAGGTGCCTGAGGTGTCGGTTGTGTGACCTCTGGTATCGGCTGGGAATCGGATGCCTCTCTCACCTTAAATACCATCAATGAAGAAGTGCATCTACGGGAGGACGGAAGCGGGAGGGATGAACTCTAGAATCCCGTCTACTATGGGAGGATGATGAAGTCGGAGTAGAAACAGGAACACCGGAGGCATATGCATGAGTAGGCGCATCTGGCACAACTTGTCTAGAGGCGGGAGGAACTTGGGATGCCTGACTCCTTTTCTCTCCGCACAAAATCATGTTGTGCAAGTTGGTCGTGCCTCAATCTATATGGTATCTCAGCCATTACTCATGTAGAAGTACAAAAAAATGTTAAAACAAGGACCAATGTTCAAAATGACGGGGAAAATAGAAACAGACTAAAACTGAAAAATGCATTTTCGATTTTGTTCAAAATGAAAATCAGAAATATATTTCTGGTTCGACCTGCAATTTCAAGCTTCGTCAATGGCAAAACAGAGGCACATACAACCTCAAACAAAATACCATTGATCATCAAAATGAGACTTCCAACAGTTAACTAATGATGCCTAATATTGAAAATAGACAACAAAATCCCAATTTCTAACCTAAAACACTAATTTGAGTAGAAATTACATAAACTCTAAAAAACTCAAACAACTTACAATTGTTGATTTTCCTTGATTGAATGTGGTTGGACACTTGATTTAACTGGTGTTTGGCAATTTGTGACGAGTTTTTTGCGAAATTGGTTTTATTTGTAACAATGGTGTTTGAAAGAAATGGGTATTTGAGTTTGTTATGTTTTTGTTGTTTTGAAAACAATTTTATAATGAGGGAGAGGAAGAGGTGTGGTGCGCTTAAGTCGAAACCAAAATCGGAAATATATTTCCGGTTTATACCATAAGTGCATTTTCGATTCATATATTGCTAGTAACTTGGATTCCTAGACCACAATTGTGTTTGGGATGCAACCAAAAATATGTTTTTGGTTTCCATCCAACTTTTTCATATCTTTTATGGCTAACATGATGCGAATCAGAAATATATTTCCGGTTTTAAGGGGCATTAAGGTAATTTCGCACGGTGCGCTAGAAAACCATAGAGTGGAAATAGAAATCCTCCTAAAACCATAGAGTGGAAATATTTCCGGTTTTATGGCTAACATGATGTGTTTTTTTTGTTTTTTTACTAATTGCACTAGTGTCTGCACGGGTACCAGTGTGGTATGCACGCTTTTGTTTTTAAAATGTAATAAAATAATCAAAAAAATAAAATGAAAATAAAAATTCAAATAAATTAGAAAATATCAAAATATTATTGGAAAAAAGATAGACTGGAAGATAATTGTATAAGTTTTTAAAAACAACTATTGTTAAGAAAAACTATTAAAGATATACTTTATAAAAAACAATTGTGAAAAATAGAAGAAAAAAAGTGTTTTTTTATGGTTGATAGAGTTGTAATAATAAAGGGTTTATAAAGTTTAATAAATGAGACAAATAAATATTCAAAATTAGAATTAGTTGAAAATGAGTAGAAAAATAGCTTTAGATAAAAGTCCAAAAAGAGAATGATGTAAAAGAATTAAGTTTAATATTGTATTGATTAAATTTTGGAAAATGGTTTAAAATATTTTAAAAAAAGTCAGTAGTACAACCGACATAAGTTTTATTTTTATTATCTTTAATTATACAAAAAATGTAAAATATTTTAAATTTTATTGGGTTTAGTCAATGGAGACTACCAATATTATTGCATGATGACCTGACAAATCCTTTTGATGACTAAAACTATCTAACTTCTCATGTTTGATACAATATTGTGTCTTGTGTGAATGAGCAAAAAGATGAACCCCTCAACCCCATTCCCTCAATTGTGTCCTTTTGGAAATATAGCACATTGTGCATTCCATAGTGTTGCATTGGTAGCAGGTTTTTCATTACAGGTGGGAGTTGAAGCATGGAATAATATCATTGTCAGTAATGGATATTAGAGAAAACCTTGTATCCACCATTATCGAAGCTGCTTCAAGGAGAAGTTGTATTGAACATGCAATCGCGTCAGTTCTTACCTTATTGATATTGAACACAGAATCGTTGTTTCTTTTTACAAATGTAAGTTAATACTTAACCAATGTGTGGTCAATGGTTGTTGATTATTGAAATGTTTCCAGAAGGTGGTATAATAGAAAAACCATATACCTGGCCTTTGATAGCATCTCTAATCCTACAGAGAGTTGCCTAGTATGTTTCTAGTCCTTGAAGAAACCTGTAAAATATGTGAAGCACCTGTAAATATAAATGTAACTTTCTAACAGACATGAATTTAAGGACATTGTATCCTAGCCATAAAATGTAAGACTCTAACTGATTTTCTTAAACTACAATCCATATTGTTGTACCCCAAAATTTTCCCTCTCATTTATCAAGAATTTGCTCACAAGATCTCATTTGACTCAAGACTGCACCAGGGTTGATCAGCTCAAGACACCTCTTTAAGCACTGATGGCCAAAATTAGGGTTTGAGATTGCACAAGGATATTTGAACTTTTAATACCCCATATGACTTTCATGGATCATTATGGACCCTCAAGATTACTCATGTCAAGTTTCAAGCTTTGGATCACACTTTAGATCAGTCAATTGAGCAGTTGACCTAAAAACTAGTTGTATTGAGAAAAAGTCAACTATGGTCAATTTACAGTCAAAATTACAGTCAAAATTAGGGTTTTAACTGGGAAAGGGCAAATTCTGATTTTTTGACCTAGAAAATGGTCAATTGGTTTGAAGCATGATTTCAAGAGTTCAATTGCATCATTTTGATCTAATGACATGGCTCAAAACATTGTAAGTCCAATGGATTGACAGATGAATATTCAGTCAACTGATCAAAAGTCAATTGTACACTGAAAAGTCAAACTTTGACTTTTTGGTCAAAATTCAATGTCAAAGATCACAATTCATAAAAGCATGTCAAAATATGAAACTTATTCATCAAGAAATCAAAAAATCAAGATTTCATTTTGAAAAGTCAAAGTTTTCTAACTTAGAAATTTTTAAGTGTTTAAACTTCATGTTTTTTTCATAACTTTAAGCCAATTTTTCACCATGATGCAAGATGATTCAAAAGAAACTTTCAACATGAAATTTGTAGATCTCCATGATATCTACAAAACTTATTCACACAACTTCTCCTAAAAGTGCTTGTATCTTAAGTTATTAATTCATAAAGTCATGGTCATGAAACAAAAACACTTAGTGAAATTTTGCCCTAATTTGGTCAGGATTTTGACCTAACTTCATGGCACTTTTTCATATAGTTCCAAGGGGAATTTTCAAAAGTTATTCAAAGATGGGTTGTAGAGAACATTACAAGCTTTCCAAAATGTCCAATAACTCCTTGAGACCATTCTTGAGAAGGGAGAATCGAAGAGATGAAGTTAGGGTTTTATCACTTGAATTACAAGTCATTTTTTTATGAACACATGAACCAAATCCATGCTAGGTTGCATAATCTTTGCTTTGCAGGCCTCAAACTTGTTTGTCA